TCCTTCCAGGTCCTTCATCCTTCCAAACCATCTCCTCTTCTGGATTAGAATCTTAATGTTGTCTTACATTCCCTGTTCTTTCCACTTTTGAACCTTTGGCATCTTGTTCCCTCTACCACCTTATCTTAAAAACCTATTTCCTTCTCCTTTTAGTTTCGGGACACCATCATTGGATGTGTTCACCATTGATGTCTCATGTATCCTTTACGACAGAACCTTTGTCCTCCTTTACCCAGATAGGGCCTTTCTTACAAAGACTTTTGCTGCTCATGAGGGTAATTTTGCCTTTATTTCCATCTCCATACCCTCCATATCACACTTGTGTTCCCACTCTGATCTAGATTGCCTCCTGAGTTATGTGGTGAGCATGGCTTCCTTCAGTGGTTCCCATTTTCAGCTCTTTATCTTCTTTCATTCTTCCATTTCCAGAGACCTTTCCCCTATTACCCTTACAGGTTGGATTCTTCTTTGTCCATTCATGAGCATCGCCTCTTCCATGTTTCCTCTCATCAAATCATTCATCTCTCCATGTTCCTAGCTGCTTGCTTTCATTGACCTTTGGTGGAGATCATACAGACTGGCATGTGGACCACTCCACATGCTGTTTCCATTACTTACCCGTTTCCTCCTTAACCAGATTTTGTCTGACTCTTGTTGCTATCTTACACAATACAGTAATGCTATGAGTGAGTAAGTTTCCTGTATTTATATATTTTCATCTTTCAAAGCCCTTGTTATTTACTTCTTGCTGGACACCACTCAGTGACAACTGTTGCCTGTCCAGGTATACTTATTTTCAAATCTGCAGTGTATGGCATTTTAAGGTCTATAATGCACCCTGTTGAGATGGAGTGTTCCACAATACTACTTGTAGGTTCTTCCTTGCAGTGTTTTGTGTCATAAATATGTTTGTCCCAGACCATATACTCATGGACTAGCATGAGTAAAGCAGAAGAAAATTGCTGCCCAACCTTACTGATCCTTAGATTGATGAAATTAGGATCAGCCTGCTTTTCTAAATAGGGTTTGCAGTTACCCATTGCACTGTATCAAGTGCTGTGTTCCTCCACATGACCCCCCTTCTTCTAGTAGAGTACGGGAGTCCTTATCACTTACTAGCTCCTAGCTGCTGGGGTGGTGGACCATGGAAGATTCCACCCGAGTATGTTCTATTCCACTCATTTGAGAGTAGGGTGGTGGTGTTCTGCCAATGTAGATGATGTAGAACCTTCTTCCTACCATGGCATAGGTTATTTTTTCCTGTTGCAACCTGGTTATGGACTAGAGATGATCTACCAATAATGGCAGTTCATCCCTCTGGTTTTGACCCCTCATCCTACTGCTGCCTGGATGTTGATTCCCGGTAGGTTTGGTTTTGGATTAAAGTTGGACCAACCAACATAACTCCTCACAAGTGAGGTGAATGGTAGAGGACTTCCTTCCTACCCTGGGATGGATGAAGCATTTCTGGTACCGCTGGTTTTGGATAGAGTTGATCTCTCACATTGGTTGAGGATCTCTGGTTTTCTAGGGACCAGACAATTTAATCACGATCCCAATGATTCTGAGGATTGAGTTGATCTCCCGATTGCAGTCCAGCACACCATCATCATTTTACATTAAGGGCATTTCTGGATTTGATTGATTGAAGACTTCAACCTTCCAGGGACTTGAAGTGTCATTCCCTGTCCCAATGGTTTGAGGATGAAATTCATTTCTCGATTAGATGAGGACCCTGCCTTCCAGGTACTGTAAGTATTGATACTGGTTCAAATGGTTTGAGGCTGGAGTTATTTACACAGCTTCATCCAGATTTGCCCTGTGCTCTCTATCTCTGGGGGACTTTCTGCTATTTATCATAAGTGCCTCTTTTCCACCCATCTAGCAACACTGCTTTTCATACCTTGTTCAGATGTGGTGGGGTCTCCCACGAGTGTGTTTCCTGTTCACAGAGATGTCACACTTCATGGGTTCTCTTTGGACACATTCTGAAGGGGGCTAATCTAGGTAATGTTACTCCTGTCTCTCCACCAGATCAATGTGGGATTGTAGCTTTTATGTGAGTGAAGGTAAGGTATTGTATCAGAAGTTATAATTTTCCTACACAAAAAATGTCTATCCAATAGATACTTCCTCTCACACTTCCCATTCTTCCTCCCTACTTTCGGTGTTTTTATTCTTGGTGCCTAATCTTGAAGTGAGGTCAGACTATAATTCAGAGAGAACTAGGTGTGTGAGGAGAGTGTCGCATTCCTTGGTGGAAGGTTGTTGCATAATTATTTACATGCTACAGCGCAGCTGGACCATGTTAAACAAGTAGGGGTGGGTGGGAGTATCCTGGTTAGTGGCAAGCAAAACATTTTAGCACAGAGAGGGCAATAATATGTATGTGTAGGAAAATTTTAACATACAGATGGCCTTTTAAAAACCACAAAAATTTTTGTGCATTCCATCTCTATGTGTTTTAAAAGTGTATGAGTATTAAGTATTTCAGTTATGTTAATATTGAAAAATGATGAAAGTTTTGCAAAGTATAAAACCAAAATATTTATTTTTGTGTGATATAAGTAAAATTTCTGTGTTCATAAGATACCATTTTAACATACATTTTGGTAATGCTTTTCTAGAAAACAGATTCTACAGCTTGAGCTGAAAATTAACCTTATTTTAATGTGCAAGGATGTAATTCTATTTTATGTAAAAATTATACAATGTGTAGACAACTTTTCTAAATCTGTTTTGAAATTCATTTTGCAGAAGTAAAAATTAATATCACATTTGTAGCCCCCCAAAATGTATGTCTAATGTTTCTATAGCAGCAAAAAAACATAACTTACTATCACTGAAGAAGCCACACTTGTAATAAGTTGGTATAAGTAAAATATGAATGTGTTTGTATGAAAGCATGGATGTTTTCCATCTTTGAAAGTAGAGTAACAGTAAATGTCCAGCTTCTTTATATATCTTATTGTATAAGTATTGATATGCTGCTTCTGTGTGGGCAGTGTAATATCATTGAGATTTAGCTTTTGTTTGCCAGATGTAACACTGCAACTGTAGAAATGTGTAATATCACAGATAGCTAATATCTGTGCAGCAAAATTAACAGTATATGTGTTCATGTGTTGCATGTATAACAGTATAGTTTCTAAATTTATACTCTGTTGCATATGTTACACAGGTAGTATATGATTTTAGCAACTGTGTTGTAGAGGTAACAGTAGAGGTGTTTAACTGCTGTTTTGCAGATATAACAGTAGAGGTGCATAGCTGCTGTATTACACATGTAACAATAGAGATACTTAACTATTGTATTGGACATGTAACAGTACAGCTGCTTAACTACTGTGTTGCAGATAAAACAGTAGAGGTTCTTAACTACTGTGTTGCAGATACAACAGTAGAGGTGCTTAACTACTGTGTTGCAGATATAACAGTAGAGGTGCTTAACTACTGTGTTGCAGATAAAACAGTAGAGGTTCTTAACTACTGTGTTGCAGATACAACAGTAGAGTTGCTTAACTACTGTATTGCAGATATAACAGTAGAGGTGCTTAACTACTGTGTTGCTGAAATAACAGTACAGATGCTTAACTACTGTATTGCAGATGTAACAATTGAGTTGCTTAGCTGCTGTATTGCAGATGCAACAGTAGAGGTGCATAAATACTATGTTGCAGATGTAACATGATTCTTAGTTATTGTCAACTCATTTGAAATGGGGAAGACCCCCCATTGGAATGCTCTGGTGCCCCAATAGTCCCCTGTCTGAAATGTAATCTTTCAATGTTTCAAAATTTGAACATTGTTACTCCCAATGATGTGGAAGTGTTAAATTTTTCTGCCCCCAAACTAGCTAAGTGCTCCTTGTGCCCCACTCCCCAGTAAAAAAAATTGTAGAAATGTCACTGACTGTCTTGTAGATTGTAGATACAACAATACAAGTGCTTAACTAGTATGTTGCAAATGCAACAGTGCATAATTACTGTGTTGTAGATGCAACAGAACAGGTGCTTAGAATCTGTTGCAGTTATAAAAATATAGGGATTTGATTTTTTATTACATATGTAAAACTGTTGGACTCTAGGTATTTATTACATGTATAAGTGATATAACATCATATACATTTAGATTTGTTTTTGCTAGATGTAGCACCATAAGAGCGTAACTTCCTTGTAGGAGGCAAAACAGTGTAGGTTTGTAGTTTTCATAAAGCAGAAGTAACAGCTTAACAGATTAGCTTCTTGAAGGTTATGTAACATAAAAGGTTTTTGAGGGTGAACAGTATTAGAACTTGTAATGGTTATTTTGTATTTTATATAGATTCATACTTCTGTTAATCACACATTAAGTAAAAGATGGGTATAGATCTAATATTTATAGTGTAACAGTCTTCAATATATTTTTATTTTATATACTAGGTATTTAATTTTCATTCAGCACCAGGTAGTATGATGATTTTTAAATGATACTGTTCTTAAAAGTCCAACTTACATTTCATGAAAAGAAGGGTAGCTTCGTTCACCTCCAGATGTTTCTAATTCTATGTTTTTATATCCAAGGCTAAAGGTTACACAGTTGCTATTCATTTATTTGAAACTTTGAATTAACCATTTTGTGTTTTTCTGGTTAGAACTTAAAATGTAGATTCTTAAAAAGGCTATATATATATATATATATATATATATTATGTGTATATATATATATGTGTGTGTGAATGGGTGCATGTAAGTGGATAACAGAGATATCTATTTATTCCTGTCAGATTTCATACTTGAACTTAGGTTTTCAAAATCACAGAAAATAGTGGTTAGTTTTGCTGTAATGTGTTTTTACTTTTAAAGTTATAAATTCATTTTTGTGTTTGCTTATTTTAATCCAATTTAGCATATAGTCATTTGTGTACATTTTTGATTCATTATGTTAAATCTTGTTGTTGATTTCTTACTGGACTAATTTTGAATATGTTTATAAAATATGTATTATATTTTCTTTGTTAGTGCCTCAAAAAAGATCTAGTGGAGAAGGTAAAACTGTTTCAATAGGGACAAAATCTAGAGAAAGCAGGAGATCAAGCTTTTTATGTAAAAGAAATGTAAGTATATAGTCAGGCTATTGGTTGTTGTGTTAGTGTGGTTGGAGATTTCTGGCCCATTGTTATGGTGCTGAAATTCTCATTTATAGTTATCATAAATTTTATTTGATACTCAGGAAAATTTTTAAATTTTTAGTACTACGTAAAACATGTATGTTTTCAATAAATTATTATGGATATTTTGTCTTTAATGTCAAATTACATCAGGTTAGTGGACCATTTATTGATCAACTGTGTTAACTTTTTATAAGTATTTTATCATATATGTAACACTAAACTCTGTGGAATGAACACATGTCATAGATAGTTTTATGTATTTACAATACATTTATAGATACTTGACTTGAGATGCTTTTTTTTTGTTACAGTCCTCTCAGTTAGTCCATTATGGGTTTTGTATCAGAGTTGTGTAAAAATGGCATTTAAAAACTATTTTGTAACCCCTGGAAGTCACTGGCCTTTTATTCCATACCAAAACTTATCAGCTGGATTGGCTATGTCAACCAATAATGTATCTGACACACTGTTTATATTCAGTACAAAAAATAATAATAATACAGTATCATAAAATGCCTATTTGGTGATGCAATGAAACTTTTTTTAGGCTTAACAGAGGGGATTAAAATCACATTTGATTGCGTATGCTTATATCATAACTCTATTAATTATTTCATTATGTATTTTGAATCAGATGTGTAGTTTATAAAAATAGCATTTCAGATCTATCTTTTGTCCACCACAAGTCATTGTCCATAATGCATTAAATAAATAACATTTCTCTCAGCTCTGCAACCATTCTTATGAAATGATTTCAGAAATCATGTTAATTTTTTTCTCAGTACCATCACTTAGTTAATAATTGTTTTGTTGTTGTTTTTTTTTCTGTAGCAGTCTTCACCATCTGTGAACAAAAGCCAAAATAAATTGCTCAAACTTTTTAAAAAAGAAGAGACAGGCAAGTTTAGCTTTTATGATATGTTTTGGACATTACAGAAGAAAGATTATTGATACTTTTTTACTGGGTGAATCCAAAGAGTGTGTCAATATGATTAACCAGTGGCCATATGTGGCAAACAGCAATAATTATGTTTCTGTCTGAAAAAAATAGTTGAATTTACCAGATGTGTGATTTTTATATACAATAATTTTTTAATGCAAACTTAATTTTGATACTTTCTTTTGGCCCAAGTGGAACCAATGAGTGTGAAAGTCTACAAACCCAGAAGAATATTATTAGCTTGATTAATTAATTTCACTCTTCTTACTTTTCCTTCGAGTTTTACTAATGAAATATTGTCATAATTTTATATTTGTTATAAAAGTAAAAATGAAAAGAAAATATTTTCATATTCCATAATTGACAACATTTGAATAAAATGATCTCTTAGATGATGGTACAAGTTCAGGTAAAGATAAACCTTTATCTCCAACTGAAGAAAGTTGTAATAACTTAGATCGTTTTTGTGAACAAAATCAAAGAGAGTCATCTAACTCACAGGAAGATCCTGCATGTAAGGTATGTTTATAACTACATTAAGTAAGTTAGTTATTCTAGGTAGTATGGTTAGTTAAAGATATTAAAAGTATACTCACAAGTTACAACCACCCAAAAACCTTACATTTTAACATTTTTAGCTTGTTAGATATTGAAGTATTATTTGTAATCCACTGAAAGGGAGATTTTTAGTCCCATCTTTACAGAGGAAGACTCATTTGTGTTGTAGTAATGTTTTTACACCGAATATTTTATGAATCATTTCACCAAAAATTATATTATGCACTATTATTTTATGTTATTTTTAAGAAATATAAATAGAAAATCTGACAGCTGTGTTAATAAAATTGAGCTATAGTAAGGATTAAAACTACAAGTATATATATATTAGCCTTATTCTCACTGGTGGGTGAAGTGCAACTTTTGTTAATCATAATTTTTGAAAGATATTTGGTTATACGTTTTTCTTTATCCAGATATAATATGAGGTTTTAAAAAAAGATGTATGATGATAACCATATTTTACCATTTCAATGTGACATTTTTATGTAATAAAGAATGAAAAAGTGCAGAAACACAATGCCAAAATAACAGTCACATCATCAAAAAATGTAATACTAATTAGACTCTTATTTTGTTTATTAATAATTTTGATTATTTAATTACAATGGCTTCTTTAATTTATGTCTATGTAATTCTAATTCCTTAGAACAGAAAATTTTAAACTACATGTATTTCAGTTATTATGATACATCAAAAATAAATTTGAATACTTGAAATGGGAAATGAAAATGTGTTCTTTTTTCACTTAGTATTCAGGTCTTGCACAGTGTTTCTGATGTGAAATAAATGAATATGGAAGCATTTTAATTAATAAACAACCTTTTCATGAATTTGTTAACATTTTTGATAGGAAGGAGCTCATTTTTTTCTAAGCAAAAAGATAAACCAGCAATTCATAGGCAAGTCTGTATTCTTACATTTGTACAAATTCTTTCTAAGAACCTCAAAGAAATCTGGAATATATAAAATAATGTGGGAAACAACCTGTTGAGTACTAAAAGTCACTTTCTTGGAAATATTTAACTTCTTAACAGTTTCGCTACACATATTACAAGGTTTTAGTGAGCTACATTCAAAATTTAATTAAACAACTTTCTTATCATGATATACGATTAACTTTGACATGAAAACGTTGATAATAATACAAATTTTAATATTATATATGTTTTAAGTTTTTAAATTTGTAAGGTAGTATTTAAAAATATTCTGAATTTCCCCTATTATGAGAATTGTGATAATTGCTCTCTGGGTATACTCTCTTTTTACTTTTACTTACCACCTTTCATTATAATGCTGTCATTGCTCAGGCAAAGCATAATTTTTATAGCTTTCAATCTTATTTGGTTATAGAGCCATAGAATAGAAAATCAGATCCTTCTTGCCATGCCAACCTGTCATATTCTCTCTTTCAGAAGTTGCCAATAGTTCTCTTTGACGTTTGATACTATATTATTTATAAACGACTGAAAGCCAAGTTTTTATCTATTAAATGATGTTTATTATACTACTTTGTTTTCTGTACAGAGAATTATCTATTTCGCTTTCATTTCAGACTTTATTCTCACGGGAAACACATCAACGAGCTTACCTGAATTTTTAATGGCTGTTGTTGCCTAGTTAGAAAGCCAGAAAAATTCTAATAATTATTATATAAATCCATTTAAAGAATATTCTGTCATGTAACAGAAAGATCACATAAATAGCTGTAAGAGTAAAAAACGGAAATGATGAATTAACTTGAAAGATCTTGTGTCATTTCTTTAGGTGAGAGACAATATTATGTGTTTAAAAAAGAAAGATTGATATGGTTTTCTATTTGTAATTAGAAGAACTAACATTTCAATATTTTACCACAGAAACAAGGTCAAAATGACTCGGAGTCCACTAGTGTTGACAGAATAGCTGAAACCAAAGGTGAGAAATAGATATTTGAGTAAGATGTTTGAGAAAGTGTAAGCAAGGTATCAACCAAACTGTTACTTGTATTATGTTTATTAGTTTTTAAGACCGTGAATAATGTAAGGTTTTATGCTGACATTGACATACTGAGGATTAATTGTACTTTATGTTGTGCTCAGTTTGAAGGCCATGATTTTACTATACTACCCAACATTGCAATTTTCAATGTAACAGGTTTCTACTAATGATGGTAAAGTCAGTCTCAGACCATATGTGTTTCAGATGTTGACTTTCAAGATCATGTTTAAGCAGGTCAAAGGCATAAAAATTCATTGGAGCTGTATCAGAATTAACAAATTTGTGGTTGAATTGGGTTGCTGTGATTACAGTGTGCTTCATTACAGTGACTTTTTTGGGTCACAGAGTACTCTTTCATAATCATAGTCCTCACTTTGTAAAAGACGGTATTACTTCAAATTGTCATGAGATGTGGTTTCCTCGCTATGCAAGATTTTTCATTTCTATGGAATGTACTGAATGCCCCTTCTTCAGAATGATGTGTCTTTGTGCTCTACATTAATTAACAACCTTGCTTATGAATATTCTTCTTCAGGAAGGTTTTTTTTTATATTCCTTCAGCCATAAGTGTATTTTGAGCAGTATTTTATTGTCATATGGTGAGGAATATATTCTAAGCTACTTATATAGGTGTTAAACATGTCTTTGATGAGACATCACTACATTGACATACACAAATTATTTTTATAAAGTTCAATTAACTCTCTGTATAACCATTTGTCAAATAAATCTAATTTTGCTAGATTATTAGTTACAGTATTTTGTTCTTGAAAGTGCTTCGCTGTTGCACTTAATGCTCATGAATACTTTACTTGTGCATTTGGTCTTTAGGATATTTCTGTATTGATGCATTTAGTACACAGAGAAGTTTCTTATTCTTTTATTTAATTCTCAGAAAAGTTCTATATTATGGTATGTAGTCTTTGGGTAAGTTCTATGTTCCTCCTTTTAGTTTGAAAAAAGTTTTAATCTTTATTTTATCCTCAAAGAAGTAATTCTTATATTTACTTCCAAGAAAAAGTCCTTATTCTCATAGTTAGTCTTCAGAAGAGTTATTTATTCTTGTGTTTAGGTCCAGAGAAAGTCTTTCATTCATGTATTCTATTCTCAGATTTAGTTTTTAGAAAAGGTCTTTGTTCTTGAATTTAGGCCTCACAGAAGTTTTTTTTTTCATTTAATCCATGGGAAAATTGCTTACTTTTTATTTAATTTACTAGAAGTATTTTATTATTTCATTAAATCATATTAAAATGCTTTTATTTCCATAGCTAGTCTTTAGAGAAGTAATTTATTGTTGTTGTTTTTTTTAAAGT